AATTCCTACGACGGCGCGCTTTTGCATGCGCAGTAATTTTATGCCATTAACGAGAAGCAAATTGGTTATCGCGTTAATTAACGCGTGTGGGCGCTAGTGGAATTCGATTAATTTGTGAAAAAAGAAAAGGGAACAGTGGGTCGCACGAGAACAACGAAACGAACGCGAACGAGTATACGCATTATGCGGCGATGAATCCGGCAAAAGGAAACATTAGTCGCACCATACGTACACGTTGCCGTTGCTACCGGTAGGGGATGGTTCAGTAATTTCTAAATAATCGTTTCGTGTGTGTGCGCGTGCGCGCGCACCAGGAAACGTGACTTGGCAAAATTGAAACATCGAACGTGAGAATTGAAATCGCGTTTTAACGTCGATGCAAAATTACAGGCAATTACATAGTGCGATTATGTGGCGTCGTTCCTGTCAAATGTGGACTTGTACTTGCGTTTAGTGAACAGTAGAACGTTAGTCATTAATAAGGCGCGATGCTACTATCGTTTCGTCTACCAAGGCTAACTCGAATTAGCAGACGTGCCGCTACATCTCGAGACGGAATCAGAGTGCAGAATTAATGCTTCTTTCACATCGCGATCAAATGGACCGGCTAAAATGCCCGATAATGGAAGGGACGTAACGGCGATTACCTCGCGAAACGTTCTCATCGAGAATATATATATATATATATATATATATATATATATCTTTTTACTTGAATCATTAAACACAGAGTAAAATCCAGAGTCTACGGGATTATTCTACACGCAACACGGAAAGAGTGCCTGCACCGTAACTTTATCGACGTAACGGCGATTACCTCGCGAAACGTTCTCATCGAGAATATATATATATATATATATATATATATATATATATCTTTTTACTTGAATCATTAAACACAGAGTAAAATCCAGAGTCTACGGGATTATTCTACACGCAACACGGAAAGAGTGCCTGCACCGTAACTTTATCGACGTAACGGCGATTACCTCGCGAAACGTTCTCATCGAGAATATATATATATATATATATATATATATATATATATCTTTTTACTTGAATCATTAAACACAGAGTAAAATCCAGAGTCTACGGGATTATTCTACACGCAACACGGAAAGAGTGCCTGCACCGTAACTTTATCGACGTAACGGCGATTACCTCGCGAAACGTTCTCATCGAGAATATATATATATATATATATATATATATATATATATCTTTTTACTTGAATCATTAAACACAGAGTAAAATCCAGAGTCTACGGGATTATTCTACACGCAACACGGAAAGAGTGCCTGCACCGTAACTTTATCCGATTTTTACATTTTGATCGACAATATATATACATATACAGTATTTTGTTTCTCATATAATATTTAATTCATTAAATATGCACACATATGGAGAAAAACCGAAATGTACGGTATCATTTTACGTGAGGCAGAAAAAGTTAATATCACATCTGGCAGTGTCCATTTGGTAAACACGCCGCCGTAACTAAAATTGAATTTCCCCTCTGCTTTTCGCATTACTCGCGAAATTACTGGAAGACGGCACTAAAATGCTAATTACGCTCGCGACACGAGTGGATCCCGTCGCCGAGTATGCGCTCCTCTCCTTAGAAAATCCCTTCTGCACGGCGAGAGATAAGTCATTCGGTGCACTCATGGGAAGAGCGCGCTGCATAATTCCCATAAAATCTACTTGCACCTGCGCTTTCGGCTCGAATATCCCCGTAATTGGATCCACCAGCGAGAGTTTTTATACACACGCCGAATCGTAGGAACTCCCGCTCGCCCGTTCTCTCTCTCTCTCTCTCTCTCTCTCGATTGTTTTTAAACGCATCCTTTTTTTAACGAAAAGCCTGTTTACGTGATGCGACATATAACATCAATAAAAGCGAGTTACATGCACGCATGGCCGCGTGCATGAAACAGGCGTGACATAAACGAGCTATTAATGACGGCCGCTCGCCGCTCGTGTATGATTTAAATGCCGCTTTTAAATGGCCGCTTTTAATGTGGGGCATTTAAACGACGACGCAACCGGCCGGAAGGTCGAGAACGATCTTCTTAAGGCGTAACCCGAAACGACGACGAGTCTCTCGGACGAAATTGCGCTATCGAAATGCGACAAGTGAGAAGCGTCAGTTAAATAAGCGATTATATAGCGGCTAAATGAATAAGCCCAAGACAGAAGACTGTGTCTATATGAGGAAGTTACTTGATAGATACGCAAGACACATATCTCCTATGATACGGCCACTGCCATAATGAGGTGAACTAATATCACTAATATCACTAATATCATCATCGTAACCCGACATCGAGGTATTATACAGGGTGTGACGGAAGATGAATTTCTACGCGCACGCGTTCTTTCTTTCTTTCTTTCTCTCTCTCTCTCTCTATCTATCTATCTTTCCCCCTTCTTTTTCTCTTCCTCTCTACAATACTACATATATATAAATATTATATATTTTTATGAAATAACTTTGTTATAATTATTACACTTCGCTATCCAAAAAATGACTTTTTCTCTTGTATATATTTCTTATATATTTTTTGTGCACATAGAGAGAATGATTTATTGATTCAAATAAATGTTTTTTTGAAATAGTCCAAACAAATTATTTGGTTGACACAACAAAAATATTTCTTTGGAACTAAGCCGCCAATAAATATTTTTGTTGCTTCAAACAAAATTTTGTTTGATCAATCGAAAAATTCGTTTGGACTATTCCAAAGAAACGTTTATTTAATTCAATTAAATCGTTCGCTCTGTGTAGAAAACGCTGAAGTAAACTTAGTCCCATAGCGTTTAATAAATACTTCTTTTTACTTCTCATTTCCTCTCTCTTCCCCTCTCTCTCTTTCTCTCTTTATATTATTTTTGAATGCGTTTTTTTCAACGAAGAACTTGCTTACGTGATGCGACATGTCACATCAATAAAAGTGAGTTGTCATTATCATTCACATTGCCTTCAGAACGAACCAAATTTGTCGTTACATGACGTAAGGGATTCCGGTAGGTTTTTTAGTCAGACCGTTTCGGGGTCGCTGATGTAATCTCCCGAATATCCGAGTCGAAACATTATATGTATCGTCGAGTACAGTAAAAGGTCTACTTTTATATATTCCATTATAAGTCTATCTTGATATTCTGAAACCAATATTAACCTTTTGCAATTCTGTTTGATCTACTAGCATTGCCGGGAGGTCCCCTTTAGAACCTACAAGTGGCATTTTCTGCCATTTAGGATCGATTTTTCGAGTTTACTTCTTAGTAAGCTGACCAACAGTTAAATCATATGTCCGCCTTTGTCCAAAGTTTTAGAAGGAAAACGAAAGACAATCATATGATTTAACTGTCAATTAATTTACCGAGTGCTTGGAAATATCGGTCCTCTCAGAGGCATTAAATAGGACTTCAGTTTCCATATATTTTAAGTACACACCAATCTTTTAGAATACACAGATGTTAAAAAGTTCAGGTAGAGACGAAATTTCCACTCGGTCCACGATCGCGGCCAGATGCATGGGCGCGAATTATTTTCGAATTACGACACGATCGGACTGATGCGACAACGATACAGTCGAATATGCAAATCGCTCGGCCCTTTATGGAGTGTTTTTCTAGTACGGCAGCTGTTTTCAAAGTCACATTAGTGCTGCAGACCGGACTATTAATTATTATATACAAAATATAAATAATGGAGCGGCGTTTATATACAGAGACGCAATGTTACGACGCCGGTGATTGCGATAAAACTGCAAAGGAGCATCCGTCCTAGAATCCGAGGATAACTACGCAAGCCAGTGAGAACGAGGCGAATCGCCTCGAAGTAAAACGGGAAATATCACGGAGAGTCAAATCGATCGAAGATTACTCGAACCTCTCTTCCTTCCTCTTTCTGCCTCTTTACACACGGCCCACGGTTTCTCACCACCCACCGGCGATGCCTACACGCGACCATCGCGGGCGGCGTTAAAATCTGTGGATTGGAAGGAAGCCTTCGCGAGTCTCCTCTCGGCACGCCATCGAAACCCACTTTTATAAAATTACAAAACTCGCGCCGGCGGATGATGGATGGAGGATAAAACTACTCGCTCGGATCGCGTCGACGCGCTGGGTTTCGCATTTCACATTAGAACACGCGAATTTACGCTCTCGCGGCCACGATCGATCACTTTCTCAGCTCTGCCGATCGTATTCGTGGGTGTCTTCCGAGATCCGCGGAAAGTTCTCGTGCAACACACCCGCGACGTCGGCTGCGTTCACAGCGGCGAAGACTGCTCCGCGACTCTTGCAAAATCCGTGAATGGTGAGTGCTTGGTGAGTGTTCTGATCTTGCTCCGGGTCCAAGAACACACACCGGATTCGCGAATTTTGCAGCAGTCGCGAGGCAGCTTTCCCCGCTGAACGCAGCCTCCGCAACATCCGCGGATACAAGTCGCTCGAGCGCCGAACGCGATCGTGCCGCGATTTGCCCCGAAAATGCGAGCGTTATCGTGAACCTCGCAATTTCGCGAGAAGCGGAAAGATCGCGGCGGCCGAGTCTCGATGCAACGGAGCGATGTCGCGATCGGTCGGCTCGGCCGTCCGTCGCGATGCGTAGTACACGGCAGCGCGGTCATTGATCGGAGCATTTGACAGCCGCCATGGCACCATGGCCGGAATCGCGGGGGCCACCGGCTTGTGATTTCGAAGCGAAGGAAAAAAGCGGAGTTCGCGGCACACTACATCGATCGCCGTAGCGTCTTGCTGCGCCTGACATTTGCCTGGCTCAAGGGTGAAAGCGCCGCGCGTGAGCTCGCGTCTGGACACAGTCACTTCGCGGTGTCGAGATTAAACGACCAGAGAGAAAAAGAAAGAGACAGAGAGAGAGAAAGAGAGAGAGAGAGAGAAAGAGAATAAGAGGAAGAGAGATAGAGAGTGAGAAGGAAAGGCAGAGAACGAGGCGCGGGAGAGAGACGACGGCGATAAGAATTTCTCACCTGGACGCGGCAGACGGCCGACAGGACGCCGAGCAATGCGGCCAGCGCCAGCATCCCCTTCATCTCCTTCCTCTTCCCGGCCCACCTACGATCCCACGTCCTCCCGCTTTCCGCGGCGGCTCGATGAGTGTGTCCGCTCACGGCGAAGTCCTTCGCGAATTCTCCGCCAATCCTGCGGACCTCTTCCTTCCTCCGTGTGCGGGCGTGTGTCTGTCTGTCTTCCTCTCTCTCTCTCTCTCTCTCTCTCTCTTTTCTCTCCCTGGTTATGCGGACGCTGCTCGTTTCTATCCGACGAAGAATAGGAAACGGCGTTACCGTATGAAACGCGCTGTGACGACTCCCTGCGGGATACGACCCCGATTCGTCGTCGCGGTTTTACCTGGAGCACAATTCACCCGCCGTATAAACCACCGAGAGCGCAGCGAACTACTGCCTGCCTGTGCCGCCGCCGCTGCCGCTGTCGTCGTCGTCGCCGCCGCCACCGCCGCTGGGTGGGTCGCTCAGCGAGGAAACAAGATGGAGGCGCAGGCCGGCGCGTGCGCGCCGCGGCCAGTCGATAACGTGGCGGGAACGCCGCGCGTTTAAACGGCGCGATGCGACGCGACGATGATTCGGGCGGGCAGCGCATGATTTTCCGGGATTAAATCGCCCGGTTCACCCGCGCTCGGACGCCTCGCAGAGGAGCCCGCTATCGGCTTTGTCGGGGCCTGACCGAGGCCGACGTGTGCCTCTGTGTGGCTGCTGTGAAAAAAAAAACGTAAGTTCTGTTGACGTATACGTGTACGTCGGGTCCAATCGTTCGCCGGCGGCGGTGCACGCGATAGAATGTGTTTATCTATATTTGCGGATCAATAGATTCCTGAAGACCGTATATGCACAGGATATATTTGCGAAAGACAACTCTGTGTGTGTATGTGTGATCGGCGTAATCAAACGACACAATTGCACTGGCTTTTGTTAAAATTGTCGTTTTTTAATGATAAACATCGGTGTCTTTGATTGAGGAATTCAATTTCAAGGGACGATGTACGCGCGCGCGCGTGTGTGTGCTTTTATTGGGGAGTATGAAATGTATTCATTATACATCGTGTTTTTCAATTTTCGCCCTTCTCTTATGCTCTAATGGAAGAATATCTCTGTGTGAGATTCGCATTTCTTTTTTCTCTCCACCTGACTATTGGAAATACTGAACATTGCTATTGGGAAAGCTGGCGCTAAATACACAGAATCGATTGTAAATTTTAATCTGCGCATTCTCGATTCATACGTCAATGTCCCACGCACTATTTCATCTCTTTGACGTCGATTCATTATGTGACGTAATTCGCCATTTATCAATAAATCATTTGATGTTCCAGATTCGACGTGCGTCCGCCAGTAAGTGTACTCGCGGCTCTTTACATTACTAAAGTCGGTATAAAGAGAGAAGAGAGAGAGAAAGAGAGAGTAGGGAGTAAGAGTGAGAGGAGAGAGAGAGGACAGGGAGAGGCACCGTTGTTATTGTTGTGGCAGATAGCGGCTACGTTGTTATTGTCGGCGAAAATGTCCGTGCTCGCTGGTCGCGTGTAAACACACACATACACACACGCGCGCGCGTGCGAAACGTTCCGAATAAAATTATCGCAAACTTAGTTCGTTGCGAGAAAATCGAGGCGATTTTCGAAATTGCGTTCGGTCAATTGTACGTTGGCGCTGCTGCAAAAATGTATAGCAACGTCGTCTGAAGACGCGCCTCGTTTAATTCTGCAAAATTCCATCCAGTCCGTACGACGCCGGCTCGAGTCGAGAGAAACCAGTGTGCGCCGAGGCATGCCGTTCGTAAAAATTCGAGGTGCTACTGCTTCGCTAATTAAAGGAGCTCCCGTCCTTTGTGCCAGCGGATGGCTCCCCGACGGAGGACACCCCGACCACTAGGCGAATCGATGACGGAGCGAGAGAGTTCTGCTCGCTGCAGTAAATTGATCTTCCGAACCTACGCAAGAAATTGAAGGCGAGGTTGAGAGGAGAGAGACGAGAAGGCGGAACGGAAGAAGGGGAAGAATAGACGGGAGGGCTGAGAATGAAGACGGAAGACGACGGAAGGCCGGCGGAGGGTGGCAAAACAGTTCGGCTGGTAGCGCGGGGTCGCATCGGGGTCGAGGCAGAAGTTGAAATGTCTGCATCCATGGCAAAATCAACAACCTGTAGATACGAGCCAGGCTGTCGCGCTATCGCGCCGACAATAAGGTACGAAAGAAATCACGTTACCGCTCTATGGGACATCCCGCTATGGAAGAGAGCCGATAACGTTCGCGTGCGAATATTCTCTCGCGGGCTGGGATCACGTGTGAGCGGCACAAGACGAGGATTCGCTACTCGGAGACGAGTGTTTTGTCGTACCACGATGTCGTCGACAGTCGTCCCTTCGAGGACACCGAGAAGCCCTCGATTTCTGACATACCTCTTCGAATTCCTGTCCTGTCATGGGTGTCCGTTGAACCAGTTATTAAGTGGACCTGTCAGAATCGTGGATCCCCTCTGTACCTACATGAGACGAGTATTGGTAGAATTAAGAACGATGAAAAGTGGAGGTTTCGAGTGGTGAGTCGAGTTTTAGGCGTGAAAATGGATGATGACGAATCTTTGGCTTTTAATCTCCGCTGCTGCGAACGTGGCACTTTTCTCGTGGCTTGATTGCCAAAGATTTTACATTGAAGAAATGAGTAGATTCAAAGAATGGTTGGATGAGTGTGGCTGAAGAACAAAAGTGTAGACCAAGTTCCTTCTTGGCATGGGAGCAATAAAATGCTGATGACATGATGTGTTACCACTAGAAGAATGAGGAACAATTGATGCTGAGGAAACAAAAATTGCGCAAGGGAAGGAGGTCGGGTGAAATCTCGGTTGGTCGAGAGAGAGAAATCTCGAAGAAAATATCAAAATCACCTTACTTACCGTCCCAAATGTGTCTATTACACGACATCTCGTATATTATATAGCAATCTAGCGAACAATCTAAGAAAGGTCTGAAAAGACGGTGAATCGCCAATCGGAGCTACTTTACCCGGATTATTACGCAGACATTCGCTGTAATGAAACCAAAATCTTTGAAGCAGTCCTCGGAAATGGCAAATTATAATAATGGCCATCTTCCACATTGTGATTTCAATTAAAATATAATTTAACATCCCGTCCGCTTCCGCTCACGGTCTCTTTGTCACATCGGCCTTCGAGCTGAAAGTGCATTTCGCTAAAAGGTAATCTTTTAAATATAAGCTCGGATTTTTCACAAGCCGGCCCATAAAAATTAAAAATGACATTCGCCTTTCAAGCGGAAACGCACGAGTTCGCTGAAAAAAATATTAAAGTAATCCAGGGCTTGAATTCGAAGGCTTGAAAATTTCATGTGTTTATGGCTCTCGGTCCTGTGCGTCTCCCACCGCCGCATACATTCGCGTGGCTTTCATTTGTAATTTTTCCGATGACCTGTCGATTGATCGACCACGTTGGCGCTAAAAGCAGCCCGACTTCGACCCATCCGCTCGTCCCCCTGAATTTCTTACGTAACGAAGTTACATGAACGTTAACGTCGCTCGCAACGGCCCTAAATGAAAAACACCATTTGGGAAATGTCGATTCAATCTCGCGTAACTGTGTGCAATCGTAACAACAACACGTCGTCGGTCACGATAATTGGCTCGCGCGTCGAAATAGTAATTTCGCCGCTCGCGGCGTATTGCATATCACGGCGTCGGCACGGCATCAGAACAACACGCGTTAACGCAATCACGAGGAACGCGCCGCATTTTGGAATCAATTATACCAACCCATCGCAAAAAGCGTGACGCGGCTTTGCGCGTCTTTTTCTTGTTTCTCCTTGCTCTATTTCGTGCGGATACATACATGACATGTATGTATAGATATTACATACGTGTATATAAAAGAGAAAGGAAGAGAGAGATATATACGGCAAGGGAATGCGTCCTAATACTCTTCTCTCAAAGGGCAACGATAATTATCGAGTCGTGAGAACGGACCTCTTCAAAGAGCCGTTCGTTCTGAAATTGCGGTTTCTCGAAGGGATGGATTTCGTGATGAGAGCGAGAAAGGAGCGAAACGAGAGTAGAAAGGGAGGCCGCATCGCAAAGTAGCGCATTAAGTTCCGGGATACGCGTTCTCACAGCACGGCCATTTTTCAGTGATAACACCGCGCGGGCCGTCCTTACGATAAAGCCGCGGCGAACAATACGACGGTATCTCTACCAACGTGGGCAAATGGGGCAGGCACTATCCAGACCCCTTGCCCCCCCTTTCTCCGCAGATAGCGGAGGTCCACGAAAATATTTTGTTCTTTGTTTCACTTTTACCGTTTTATTGTCGCTTAGTCTGCAATAGCAACAGTCACATTTAAATGATAAAAAAAACAAGCACATGAGTGGCGCGAAAGCCACAAAAAAGAAACCACGCGCAATGTTGACAAAATATTCGAATTTACGCTGCATCGTATTTTGTTTATCGCGTTAAATTCAGACCTCCCTTCCTCCCTTCAGATGGGCAGGAGCCCACTGCGTGAAAATATTTTGTTTTCTGTTTTACTTTTACCGTTTTATCGTTACTTAATCTGTAGTCAGATAACAGTCATATTCGAATGATAAGGAAAGAAGCACATGTGAGAGGCGCGAAAATAAAAAAGGAGACACGTGAAATATTGACAGAATATTCGAGTCCACACACTGAATCATATTTTATTTATCGCTCTGTCCAGACTCTCTTCCTTCCCTCTCATCTCCCTTAGATGGCGCAAGTCCACTGCGCGAAAATATTTTGTCCTCTGTTTCACTTTTGCCATTTTACTGTTGTTCAATCTGCGTGACGGTAACAATCACATGGGAATGATAACGAAACAAGCGCAGATGAATGACGTGAAAGTAAAAAAGAAGTCACTTGCAAATATGGAAAGAATATTCGAATCCACGCGCTGAATCGTATTTTATTTATCACATGGGGCGCAAGCGAACGCGCGAAAAATGTGATCTCGGAGGGGGAAAAAAATCGAGTTTCCCTGAGAATTTTTACCGAGGAGACCCGGGAAATTCCATCCCCGGTGGCACGACCGCGCGTTTCGCCCCGTTCGCGAGCGAATCGCCCTCGTTCACGCGACGTATCGCGAGCCGAACTCTCTTGTCTTTGGCCTTTTTCGGCGGGCACATGAAAATGCATGAATAGGTAGCCTTGGCCCGTGTGCCTTCGCCCGTGTGTCGGGCACCGTACTCACCGGTTACCCTGGAAACGGTATCGATTTCAACCCTCAGCTATGCAGTAGGAAACCAACACCACACCATGGGGGTCTCTTCACCCTGAGTTTCGACGAGGCGCACGGAGCTCGTTTCGACAACCCGATTACAAGGCCCCCGTCTCTTTCTCTTCCTCTTATCCACCCTCTTTCCTCCCTCTCTCTCTCTTCCGCCATGTCGTCTCTCTTTCCTTCTCGTTCTGGCCTTTAGAAGGTTTAGCCTAGGTCCTAGCGATGAACACTTTCCTCCTCTTCTCTTCTCTTTTCTCTCTCTCTCTCTCTTTCTCACCCTTTATCGCTTTCCATTTCGCTCTCTCGCGAGCTCTCCTTGATCGTCTTCGCTCTTCTGCGAAGCCGTATGCAGCTCGGTCCGATCGTTCGGCTCCCGAAGTTATTATTGGCGCGACGAATTGCAAATAGCCCTCGACCCTCGTGTGGATGTTGGATCCGTAGATCTTCCTAATTACACGTGGACTGCATTATCGCAATGGGCGAGGGAGAGGGAGCGAAGGCTCTCTGTGCATGTATAATTGGGATATTCAGTCGAGACTATCGGCGAACTCGCCGCGATTGTATACCGTCCGCGCAATCGTATTCGATTACTCGTAAAGCGGATCCAGAGTCTAAAGACTCTTAGCGAGGCAGATTATCGTGAAATTGCCGCGAATGAGAAAATATATCACGGGGAAGTTTTCCAATGAGAACTCAACACGCTAAAGAGGATGTTGCGGTACGATATACGCGAGAGTGCGTTCTCGAGTTCGGTAAGATAAGTGATAACTCCAGACGGCTGTAATTCGCGAATCGTAACATCCTTGCTGAGAGTGTGGGGGAAACTCGGAGAAACTCTGAAGCCTCTGAAGAAAGAGAAAGAGAGAGAGAAAGAGAGAGAGAGGGGAAAGAAGTTCGCGCAAACGTCGCGACGCTGATATCGAAGGATGACGGTGCTGAATGCATAGAATATTTTAGCGCGCAATGCCACCGAGTTCGAGAAGAGAAAGGCACTGCTGCTGCACCTCTCCTGAAAATTTCACTATCGATTTTTGGCGATCGCGAGCAATTAGCACGCCGCAAACGAACACGTCCATCAAATTTGGCCGGAAGTTAACAAGAGTATCGCGTCCGACGCGACTAGTTAACGATTGCGTGATAAACTTCCATTTCTATCGTAAACGAGAGCCGCATCCATTCAGGAGAGCGCGTGTAACGGGTTATTCGAGTCATATATTTTGTACATACCGTTTCTTGAAGAACGTGCGCGACCATATAAATGTATAGAATGCGCATGTCAACTCATTAAAGCCCCGCACATAAAAGAAGGCACTGCTTTAACCAGAGCCACGTATATCTGCCTTCATATTGTTGTAATAAAACGTTGGAGCGGGAAAAGGAATGGCAGTAAATGAGACATCATAATTAATCCTAGAATACTAAACAAGGGTAAAATTCAGCCAGATCAACTTTTCAAACATTACCGTTCTTAAAAACATATGTCTCGCTTTTTCATTGTAACATTTTTCAACTTTGTTGAATCGCGAAAAAATTAATAAATTCATATTCCTCGACGTTTTTCACACAGATTAAAAATAAAAAGAATTGAATTTCAATCATTTTTTCAGAAAGTTACAGGCAAATGAAAACACAAAAGATAAAATTTACTCGCGTTCAGGGTAACTTACTTACGTAACTTTTGGATGTTTGGGGTTTTAAGATTAAACGTGGATTGTTATTTACAGCGTAAGAGATGCGATAACGGAAATACTCTGCGAATATTTAACGCATGAGTTTTTCGGTAGATCTGATGCGTTTAAATAACGCAAAAATAAACGCAAATAAATAATCCCGTGCTCAACGAATGTTGAAAAAGTTATATTGTTCCCAAATATTATTTGCTTAATTATAATTTAATGTATATGCGTAACAATTTTAGCAAATATATATGTATATATATATATATATATATATATATATATATATATATATATATATATATTGACAAAAAGCACGTAGCGCTCTACGTGTCTGTCTCTGATATTAAAATAATACTAGCCGGTTATTACATGCATATAGAGTCGGGAATAATTGCGCTACTCTTATCGTGTATAAACATAAGTATAAACATAAAAGTATAAACATAAACTGCTCCGACATACTGTACCTTATTTACACCACGAATAGCGTGAGCAAAGTTACAATATTGATACGCCACGCGCATTGATTGCAGTGCCGTCAATGGTCTCTCATTGTTTGTCCTTTTTCTCTTCAACCTCGAACAAACCGCAAACTTTGTTTGCCGGTACAGCTTTATCTGAAACAACAACACATTGCCGCGTTACGCATGAACCGTAGATTTGCAAAAGCAACGAGCACTTGACGAGCAGTCAAGTGTATTGACGATATCTTGATGATCCCATTTTCCAATTAACATCATCGTTATTTTTCCAAGCGGCCTCCCTTTGAAACTCTACCTGAGTGATTTACAAGATAAAGGATTCATTTATTCCACGTTCGATAGGATGCCAGCCGACAATTTCATCGATCTGCTCTCGCAACACCGACAGGATGTAACCATCGGCGTCACTGTTCATCTAACATTTAGCCGCGTCGCGAGAAACCGGCATAGTAGCTGCAAGTGTTCCTCGCTGCATCGATGAGACCGGATTGTACTCATTGATCTTTTCTAGTCCCAGGCCACGTGAACATTAAAACGCGAAGCGAAGTGAAATAGGAAAGAAGAGCGCGAAGAAACGCAACTTTTCGCAGAGTTGCTCTTTCCTCATCGCTCATCCGATCACTAAGTCTCATCTAATCAGATTTCGTTGTCTCGAGCAGAGAAAAATGGTTGCAAGCGTCATTCTCGCGGAATTCACGAGTTCGCGTGAGGGAAGTGAGCACATCTTGTCTCGCGACAGACACGATCCTCTCAGCCGCAACTCGGCGTTCACTCCCCGGACTGTACCGGGATGTTATAACGCTTCGAAGACGGCCATTAGCTTATCGGAGGATCAGGCTGATAGCGGCAAAGCGTGCAACCCCAAAAATGAAACGGGAATCCCGATGGGGCTCGTGCAGCTACTAGTTTCTCCGAGAGTACCATTTTGAGGCTAACGCTCCCGCAGATAGCGAAGCCACATCTCACCCTCCCCTTCTGATAAATTAATTCCCCTTGACTGCCGTACTTTGGGGTGCGTCTTATCGAACTGAGTCCAAGATGTCGCGACTTGAGATCCAAAAATCGAAACACGCGCGGGTCACGCTTACCGATCATCTTGGGATAGGGCAGGTTGAGGTTGTTCATGATGTGGACGAAGTCTTCCAGCGACTTGGACAATCTGGGATTAAGAGCTTTCTCCTCGGCCACGGTGGTGACGGTTCTGCCGTTGTAATCGTGCGCCGGATACAAGCGGTAGTGCCGTGGCAGCGTGAAAATCATCTTGTGAACGGATTTGTACAGGATCTCGGCGGAGCCACCCTGCACACAGTCGGGAGACACATTGTTTCACATTTCAATTGACAAAGGCATCTTTGATCGTTGATGTGTCGGTGAGTATTGAATAAATTAGAGTAAAGGTCGCGTCCTTGCGTGTCTACAATGTTAAAAGTAAAGCACGGTGAAATTAGATCAATGCACGCCAATTATTGTTGATGTGACCGAGCAAAATGACAGGCTTGGAATACGCCAGACTAAGGATAACCGTCCCGGTCGTTCTTCCGGATTAAAAGGTCGTTTAACCGAGCTTTCGAAAGAATAAGTCGCGGTACGCTTATAAAATGCACCGCCGGGCGGTCGGGCGCGATGACGGACGGCTATTCATCACGCGAGAGAGCTGTGCAGAAGAAGTCTTTCATATTCTGGATGATATATCGACGTTTACGTAGCATGCGCAACACGGAGTGAAAATGTTTGCAATTGCAACGGCCACCGACATTTTCGACGAGAATTCAGGATGCTGCGTCTCTTTCTCTTTCTCTCTCTATCCGCAAGCTCGCTGCTATCGATCCGCCGTAGAGTTATGACGTTTAAATAAATAGCCATTTATCGAGTCTCGACAATTATATTGTCGACATGACGCTATGAACTGACATTTCCGGTTAAAAGAAAAGACCGGTCGTTTGGATTAAAGAGACAGTGGCCGGTGCATCGCAGAGAACGTTACGGCGACTTATTGATGAACGTTAATATGCAAACCGAGCTCGAAGCTGATTAACCCAGATGAATTAAAAAAAAACGTTCGCAAAAGATTCCGAGTAATATCCGGAAAAAATGAAGCGGGATGATATACTGAGGCATCTGGATTTTGCATTGAACTCATAGAAAATAAATTAATGTCCACGCAGAGAATATTATTTTTCTTTTCTTTCCTCTTTCATATAAATTTTTTTCAATTTTACTAGGTTTTTGTTAATCCAGGAATAAAGTGCCTATTTTACTGTGGAGCATAGATTAAATTCCGCTACAAACCTAGTAAGCGCTTTAATAACATATTTCAACTCTTAAAATATAAGTAAAACATGTAAAATAAAATATATTACTGCAGAATATCGATCCATTCCTCGGTTATAAAATCCTACAACAATTTTTACCATAAGATTTTCTCTGTGTGCATTTGAAAAAAATTAATATACTCAAATTAATAATTATTATCTCATATATAAGTAATGATAGAAAATTTTGTTAGAACAAGCTTAAAGTCTTGAATTTCAACAATGTTATAATTTTATTTGAATATTATAACAGTCTTATAAGAAGTACAGTACGATTATTTTGGTGATCATGATATCTTTTTCCGATATTTGAAAACATACTCTCTATCTAATATTTTTTATGCCTTCCACTCATACAAATTATTTTTGAATAATAAAAATATATCTTTTTTCGTTGAAGCACGTATAAAATGTGTTGATGCAAGTGACTTATCTTCTTTTGATGCTACATAATCTCATTTGAAAATATCATACTCTCAATCCAATATCTCGTGCTTTCCACTCATGAAAATTATTTCTGAATAATAAAAATACATTTTCTTCGTTGAATTTTTCCTCATAAAATATACATTTTTATTCATAAAATATACTGATGCAAGTGACTTATCTTCATTTGACTAATTCCATGTTAGAATTCAGGCGTCGCGAAAATAAAGATATTTTTAGAATAAAAACGTTCCTTCTTCTATGCAGCATCAACAGATGCTTGTTTTTCAAAACGAAAAACAAGAGATTAGATTTGCATCGTTCTTGGAGTCACGTTGGCGCACCGCGAAGATACGGACCACGTGCAGTAGCCACACACATGCACACGCGCGAAGATATTGGCCGTGCTTACCTGAAAATCAGTTCTACCGCATCCCCGTATCAAGAGTGCATCACCCGTGAACGCGATTGCCTGCTCGTCGCAAACGTACGTGACGCAACCTACGGCAAGTACAGCAGATAAAATATTTACGATATCGTGCTTCAGCGCGCGGTCATTCGGCAAGCATCAGCGTCGTTTTTCGTACCGAGCACATATGTATGCGTATATATATGTATTCGCAGCGATTCGCGCTTCGTAATCGGTCGATACGATAAATTGAGTCCTCGTCAGCTCGTTCATCCAATTGCGAGTGATATCGCGTTCGCCGAAAACGAAAAAAAAAATATCCAAAAAAACAGAGAGGGAAAAAGAAGAAATTGGGCCACAGATATATTACGACCGCGCGAAAAACACCGAATGAGATGAATAGCTGCGCGTGACACGGAAACCTGTGATGTTTGTATTCCGAGAAATATCAAACGGCCTTCCGGAATCAAGCGGAGTAATTGGGTCGTTACAAATAAATACGTGTAATCAATTTCCGCGATGATAAAATTAACAGTTACACTATTAATGATTTTATAATGAGTATATGAATATTATTAATCCCCGCCGATTTCTGTGAATTTGTTTAGTTAATAAATTATTTTGTCTAATAAATGTGGCGCAATATATTGGATTGCTTTACAAATTCGTACTTCGGACTTTTACGAAAAATTCCAAGTCAATAGCCAGGCATGAGACTTCGTTCAATAATGCATTGACAGTCTTTCTTTCGATGGCAGAGCATCGAAAAAAAGAAATAAGAAAAAAGAAACATACACGCAAAAAAAGCTTCAGTTGGTGCAACCAAATAGGAACCAACTAAAAATTAGGTGATCAGAAGCGATATCTCTGTTATGAAAACTAATATTTCTGTTGTCGCAACCGAAAATATTCGTCTGAACATTCAACGATATTAGAACTCGGTTGAGGCAACTGAGAACGATATAGAAGCCTCATAAAGAAATTTTTCAGTTCCTACAGCCGAGTTTTCGTCTGATCCCTGAGCAACCGAAAATTCGGTTGCAGCGACAAAATTCTTTTTTCCGTGTACGTTTAACTATAAAAGTATCGACTATGAATTTCTTGTAAAAATTCCTGTAAACTTGTTGAACAACTCAGTATTAATTCTATTATTGGATTCTCCGGTTTTATAATTTTACCTTTTCGGCGATACTCAACGAGACTATAGACTCCCCAATTACGAAATGTATGCGTTTAAATTCGAAATCTGTAGGCATAAAATCAGTATCGATCAAGCTTTACTAGGAGCGCGGGGAACGCAGCCGATATCGAGTATCTAATTCACAGTTATTTAGCACACGTCATACACGAATTCGGTGAAAATAGAGCCTGTCATGCGAGGAGAGCACCGATATCGAGGTAGCTCAGACGTCCTGAGGATTTCGCCTGGACAAACGATTGAGCCGCGACGAATAGCGAATCTGGCACGATCGATAAGAACGGCCGTATCTTTTTGTTCTTTTTTATTTTGCTGCTGCCGTTCCACCGTTTTGCTGTGTAAACTTCAGCAGCGGTGTACGCGTATATATACACACATATAAGTGCGCAAGTACAGAGTATCTTAAAGCTACCGAATGCCATGAGGATGGAGCGAGCCCCGAAACAGAAAAGACGCTTCGTTATCGAAGAATCGACAGTTTCCGGGTAATCGGGCGGATCCAAAGAGCCTCGCGCGATTAAATCTGCGGCTTTCGAGAACGATTGTGATCACGTCGATTCTCTAGATGGATATTCGAGATGAGAAACTTTTTATGTATCCTTGATCTTTTCGGTCCACGTGCAAAATAACGCCGCCTCTCACCGTCCTCGCGAGCAAGTATTTCGCCACTTCTCGGCAGCTCGATTAATAAAATAATAGCGGCCGGGGGAACGCGATCGATCGTCCAAGAAAACGCACCCCGATATCGCGGGGAGTCGCTGCCACGTGAACGCGAATTTTCACGGAGCCCGAGACTTTCGTCACGTTCCGCGAGAACCGCGTTTCGTATTCCTCGCGCAAGATCAACTGACGCATCGAGAGCCGCGTTAAGCTCGAACGCGTTACAAAGGGAAGAAAAAAGAAACGAGAATAAATAATTCGAAACTGATGAAAATCGCGCGAAGGTAGAAAAAGAAAGAAAGAAATACAAAAGTTCATTTTTCACTGGTGCAATCAGCAAGACAGTGATATATAGCGTGTACGTATATACACGGCGCACATACGTACACGTGGCACAGAACGCGTCGAGAAAACGCTAAAATCCACATATGTATCAAATGTGATGCACTATGCACTTAGTCCTTTATAGAGGGCGCCGCTGTGTTCTATTTTATCACTCCATATAACTGACACACGGACGACCGGCAGGACGTTAGCTAAATGGGCAACGGCACAATATTTTATCGTTCCGCGACGGCACAGGCGAGCATGAAAGTCGCATTTTCAACGAAAAAACTGCGTATTCTATGCGTCTTAAAATGTGTAATTTTATCTGTTAAATAATGTAATCTTAAATCTCCCCCGGAGCACGCTTGTCGAATGTGGAGGACCTTCTGACCTTCGGTGTGACCTGGGGTGGGCAGCACTGACAGGTGGTGCCTGCCGAATTGGACCTGGTCGAACTGCTCCAGCAGTATGTCGGCCTGGGCGCCGCTGCGGCGCGATATCATCGACTTGCAGCCCGGTAACAGCGTCTTCAGCCGACCTGTGCCGGTGATGTGGTCCGCGTGCATGTGCGTGTTCACTGTAACAACGCGTGTGAGAGTTTGAGCGCGTTCAAGTTAACTCAAGAGGCAAGTAACCAGCTTCGAGAGCCGCGTTCTCGCATGTACGACGTGGATAGAAATTATTAAGTTACACGTTGTATCCATCAGTCTAATTAGCGGCTTTGCGAGTTCTTGGCTTACTGTATTACGAATATTCGCGCAATTTTGCAAAACAGGAGCGGCATTAATGGTATTAGCATTATTGGAAAACCGAGCGGTGCATTATGGTAATGCCCATTTGCTCGGGACAGAATTGGCACACCGAGTCCGCATAAACAAGCACGTACGTTAACTCAGAAGGGATGTTGTACGTTTTTATCTTCTCTTCCATCCCTTCTTCTTTTTTTTTTCTTTTGACACGAGTCTCTCGGAAAAATCGCGTCACGCGAACTGACGGCGCAATAAGTAAGACGAGAATCTCATTAAACCTCTGCGCTCTGACATGTGACACCGGAGACTTTATTTCTTCTCATGAAGGAATTCCGCCTCGCGAGTACTTTGCTACGTAAATGTCATACGGTGTGGCATCGCGCAGGATATCTATACACTACCAGCCAAAAGTTTGTTATATCTATGTAAATTATACAATAGAGAAACTTTGTGCAGAAAACAATTTTGGGGCAATTTCAATGCTTTCATTCTTCTTGAAAATTACAGTTTATACTTTAAACAATACACAACACACAGAAGAAAGTACTTGAAAATGCATTTTGAGATACAAAAGCTTATTTTTGTAAAATAAAGTTTATTTCTGTAAAGAAGTTTTATATTCCACAAGTGAATTGTCAAGTGCACTTTTTTTCAGCACCAAATCACAACAAAACACAATTTTTTTGTATAATTAATATTTAAAATATTTGATTATATTAATATATTTATTACTTTAATATGTATGTGTGTGTGCGTGCGTGCGTGCGTGCGTGCGTGCGTGCGTGCGTGCGTGCGTGCGTACGTGCGTGCGTGCGTGCGTGTGCGTGTGTGTGTGTGTGTGTGTGTAAATTATTTTAATATATCTCAGACAGCACAATATCTTCAAAGGATGTCCTAAAGACATTCTCAAGAACGTTCTCAGGACGTTTTTAAAGGATGTTCTGTGGAGATCTGTACTATTTGGAATATTATATTATTATATTTGAAATATTGTTTGCAATATAACAGATCATTTAATATACAATTAACTCTGTCTATTTGCAGTAAACAGATTTGCTATGAGAAAGAATCGCTCCCCGTTCTCCCATTATTATTATAATAGATCATATAACTTTATTTTATGCCTTATGTCTTTACCATGATGTGGAAATAAGCAGATATATTTTATTAGAAAAATTCGTCCCGATGGAAAATCGGTAGGTAATTTCAAATTTTTGGCCGGCAATGTACGACGCGAAAATACATATTTAACGAGACGCGCGTTTATTATTAAAAGACAAGTCCCATTTAATTTCCATGCAGATCCGGGTACGCGCGCGAGGAGCACGATTTGTCGACGGGAAAACACACTCTCATCATGCGATACACTCGAAAATTATACGAGAGCGGCGAAATCGGATCGGCGCGAAGTCGAAGTTCTTTATCGAAATTGGCAAAGTTCGACGATATGCCCGGACGCGGGCCGCACTCCTCGCACGGTTTATGGTCCACGGTCCTGTTAACCGCCAGAACAATGGAGAAACTATGCGGGGCCCGCGACCGCCCTTCGCGGGGGCCGGGGAATTGCATGCCAATTCATTATGAAGTTCGGCAAATATTGGTCGGTTAGTAGGATAGTTCGCAATAATTCTGCGCACTGCTCGTAAATCACGGGCGCGGGACGTCGCGTAATTGCGACAAGTACATTTCCGACGATCGAGCGCGCGGCGCGACTCTAGTAAGATAATAGATTTTGTTGTTAATTGGAGCGTGTAATTAATTAGTTATCGATTGAAACGCTTCGCGGAGAACACTGTGATAAATGTTAAATCGTTGCGCGCACGCGGTATCGTATTTGACACGCTCGATTTTGCGTATAATGTATGACGTCGATCTTAAAACTGCCTGCTAATGCTTATTCGCCAGATTGAGGTATTGGAGTGACACGCCTTTCTTTCTGTGTAAGTTGTATCTCAGTGATATTCGGAAATATATTGTCGAATCTCCAAGTTACACTAGGAATTTCGTCACAATACAAAAAATTCCGAATATTCTGATAAGTTTGATATGACACTGTAGAAATAGATGTCAATATCAACGTGACACTTGAAGAGCTATAAGGAGCAACGTCGCGAATGCCAATATGCGTTCGAGGCAAGTGTAAATGCCAATATGCAGAATTTAACGTCCAATACGTTTCAAAATCTAAGTTTGTCCAAAATTACACGAGAGATGTAGTTGACGTAAAACCAATACTACCAATACTACTGTACAATATTACAAATGTTACTCATGCATTAATTCAATGATACAATCTGTTTCAAAATGATGTAACTTAAACAAGTTGTATACTAACAAATGTATCAATGCACATGCAAATGAATAAAGATTGCCATCTAACTCCAGTATAAAGAAACATACAGCCTTAATTGAGTAATTTATAAAAATATGAATAATTGTATTTTTTACATATTTACATTTTCTTTATGCCTCAATATTCTGATATTTCACAAATAGCAATATCTAGAAACAATCTAGATACAATATAATGATCTATAATAATTGGTTGACAACTTACAGGCATATTTCAATGTCAAGCCTAGCTCGTTAATGATTTGTTTGTCACGTTCAGCCCATTCGATAACAGGATCAATTAAAATTGCTTCTTTATCGTTGATATCGGCCAACAGATACGTGTACGTGCTGGATATTGGGTCAAAAAACTGGAAATACAAAATGATTATATATTAATTTGTAATAAAATGTGATATCGCAACATGAAACATATCGCATTACCTTGCATAAATAATATATTAATTATTGTTTATATAAATTTTTCCTAATTCCAGAAATTCAGAATTATATCGTTACAAGTCAAATTAAAGATACCCATATGCATACACAAACGTATGCAATCATAACCTCTATAATAAATCATAATCCTTAAAAATGGAATAAATATTACAAAGTAACGTAAATTATATTCTTGTGCAGCATATGTGTGCGCATATAACAATAACATCATATCACAGAGAAAATTGTAACTTTTCGCGATATCATTTGATAACATTTATTATGTTTACAGGTGTATGCCGTTATACCGTATCTCTCTTACCGACGACATCGAGTAAAAATTTATGATAAGAGAAATATCTTTATGATGCGAAGAAATATTTTCTTTACGCGTAATATTCGATTACAATTGATACCTTTAGAATCTCGTTACATTTCATAACCTTTCCAAAGATCTCGTAACGTACGACACGCAAGATCGCAGGAAACGAAATTTTTCAAAAATGCACGGATGACCGCGCAAACGTTTTGACATGAGTACGAACAACCGTTCGTTAGATGACGTTAGAGTGAGTGTTACAGCGCGCTCGGCGGCCCGGCACGCAAGCGCATAACGGCCCTTCGCGACGTTACCTGGCGAAACAGGAAATCCTTTGAGAAGGGAACGCGCGGCGTCAAAACGTCAGCCATGGCGTGTAGCGTGCGTGTCTCGACTGGTCGTAGGATCGTTGACGATGTCACTCGACAAATATGACGAAGCATCTTTGATGCACCTTTTGTTTTCGCACAACTCTCGCACACCTCTCGCACACCGACTCAAACAACTGGAAGTCAGACGATGACTGATGATAACATAATCGGTTGTGACAATGTCACTTCTTAGAAATGTGTCCATATGTAGTCAACATTGTGCAATGTACTGAGTTAAAGGCTGTGTTCTTTTTGGGCGCTCACGCGCTTTAAGCGCTTATAAGCGTCACTCTATCTTTCTTCCGCATCTAATGAGCGATAGAATAACGCTTACAGCGCGTGAGCGCCCAAAAAGAACACAGCCAAAGGCTGCAAACGGGGAGACGCTATTTAGCGCTATGAGCGTCCTCTGTCTTTGTTCAACTTTCAGGAACAAAGAACAGAGCACACTCATAGCACTAAATAGCGTCTCCCCAAACGCAGCCAAAGTTGGAAAGCTGATATAATCTTTCTCTCTCTTTCTCTCTCTCTCGTAGCGTACCGGCTCGTCGCATCACTGACAGCTGTTAGAATGGCAACCAAGTTATAAAAATCTCTTGCCAACGCGTGAATATTGCGCAAAAGACAGACATTAGGTTTGTTCGAGTTACTTGTACTATTCACACTTTTATACTTAATGCCCGTTGCACACTAGTGCACCTCATACAACACAAATTTTCCAAAATACGTTCTGAAGATGCTTTTAAGA